CTGCCTTGAGGATTCACTTTTGAATGAGTTCATTGGAAGTGCATTCAACTGGTCTTAGTCAACTAGTCGATACAACAGAATCTAAATCTGTCTGTGTGGGTTCAAAACCTGCTAAAGATGAAATTGTCAAGCGATCATCAGAGTCAAATTTGTTTCTCTTGGAATGTGCAGGTTTGAAACCTGCCAATGATAAAATTCATTTTCTATCAAAACACACCTTGAAATTTACTCATAGTCGGTTTGCTTGCAAGATGATCAAAGTTGTGTTTAGCCATGTGGCTGTCATAACAGAGTCAAAATCTGTTTCTATTGCAGTGCAACAAGTTCAAAACCTGTTGAACACCACATTTTTCCCAACTCTTTATAACACCTCAGTTCAAATATCATCTTAAATCCCTGCTCATTCCTGTCTCTGTCTGACTTGAGTCTCATCTCTTGTCTTTCTCTTAAGTATTAGGATTGATTCTGAAGACTTCACATCTTCAGCTCTGCCTCTGGCAGTCCATACTCTGTTTGGTTCTACTCTGGACTTTGTCCATGGTAGTCCTTCTGTAGTTTTCTGAATGTCTGCTGAACTTCTGGAGTTCATTCTCAGCCACTGGAAATTAAGGGAAATTACTTGGGTAAGGGACACAGCACTGTAGCACTCAGCCTCGCGCTGAGCTTGTGTTCAGTTATTTTATGATACACATCAGATGTCTGCCGCACGCTAATCATTTTCTGATGACAACCTAACAATTACCCACTCAACTCGATGCTTATCTGATCAACACAACGTTTAGGCCAACTCTGACCCAACATATTCATATTCTCACACAATTGTCCTCCTCATGCCCTATCCTATCCTGCTAGCCCCACTAGGTGCGTAGTTCTTATTTCGCACATTACCCATGTTGCAGCCAGTGCTATTACATGTTTTCCCATCATCCACAGCATGTAGTGTTTGTTTACATGTACTTTGGGATCGGCCATATTCGAACCAAAAACACCTACACTTCCCGCAAACCCTGTCAATGAAACGCTACCCCCAGCTACCCTTTCCCCTCCTATCCCAAAACCCAAATTTCTCCCTCAGAAAACCCTGCCACTAAAGCCAATATACCCTACTACCAGCTCTCGAACAATTCCTCATCAGTCTAAAATGCTCTCTGTTCCAACCGTCACCCTTCCCATTCAGAATACGACTTCATCGACAAATGCACCAGCCATGTCCACCGCCAACAAAGGTATGGGTGCTATGCCCGGCCCCGGATCAAACAAAGCACCATCATTCAATGGTGAAATGTCAGAGCTACTCGAGTTCATAGAAATGTTTGAGGATGTAGCGACATCTTACAGACTTACGGACAATGACAAATGCAAGATAATAGTATGCTACGTCAACCTGGAGACCAAGTTTGAGTCAGTCGGCTGTTGTGCATATTGAGAAAGAAGAGAATGCATTAATTGTCCAAAGATGATGAGATGGAAGAACTCTGTATGTGCAATAACCTCAATGCAAATATCATATCAATCAAGTACACAACAGAACATCTTATGAGAGATTGGAACTCACCAGTCTATGCATTTTTTGATCCAACAACATAGATTATTGAAATTGATGGCCACTGCGTTCATTATTTTAAGTGCTAATTGTGAAGAGAAAGTTATATACTCCCACCATCAATATATGCTGGTGCTGGACTCATATTCTGCCATTTCCACATATGTCTTACAGAAGTAATCCTCAACACTCCTTGACTGTTCTGAAGCCTCCACACATCTGTCCAAGTCATCCAAAGGTAGTCCATCCACTTCTGAGGGCCATTCTCTTCTGCAATCCACTGTACCATGTCCTGTCCATGTCCATTTGACTTTGCTGGCATGTTTTTACTCCATTTGTCTATTATTGAATATGTCATAGGAACAGATATGTTGGCGGCCCATAGGGAGCCTCAAATAATGCATATAGCAGCACACCTCATGTATTATTATATGGATATCAGTCTAGCAACTCGCCTTGAGTCTTATTATAAGTGCAGAAGCCTATAGACAAAAGTAGTGGCAGAATATTTTGGATCCAAAGTACATGTAAACAAACACTACATGCTGTGGACGATGGGAAAACATGTAATAGCAACTGGCTGCAACATGGGTAATGTGCGAAATAAGAACTACGCACCTAGTGGGGCTAGCAGGATAGGACATGTAAGGCTGGCAATGAGTTCAGCAGGGAATTGCGAACAAAAATTGGTAGATAAGAGACATGTTAGCAGGTAACACAAAGAAAGATAGAACAAGGATTAGAGATGAGGACTTTTCGGAGGAGCTTTCAATCATTCTTGGAGCAGGGATCTCACTGTAGGATTCGCTGTAGGTATGAGTGTACATGGACGGTTTATATATGTTTTCTAGTAGCTTACTATGCCGAAATGAGAGTGAAGAGCATGTGGAAAGTGAAAAGATATCAGTGAAGCAAGGGTATCGTGAAGGTTGAGCACAAGGTGCGATAATGTCAAGGAGAGAAAGGAGATGTAAAGAGGAGAAATGAAAAGAATGTATCCATGTAATTGGGATGCAAGGAGTTGCGCTCTTCGCATCAATGAATCATGTGGATGACATCGACTGCATGGTTCGAGCGTCTTCATTTTTGAAGCATGGTCGGCGCATAGAGAATATTAAATCCTTACACCACCTCCCCACTTTGAATATCGACCATCCTCAGTCGATCTTCAAACTAATAACTAAAAAGAACACTTCGTATCATATGTCAAACCAGCAAAGAAGAATCAAGAGAATCAAAATGAAGAAAGAAAAACAAGGGAAAAAAAAAGAAAATATCAAGAACACATCTAGTCTTATTCTGGAGTGGTGCCTTCGAGGTCATGTGGATTGAGATAGTGCATGACTTTGATAGACAAGGGTGAGCAAGGGTGGTAGGGAATGAGTCGAAAGGCCGCAAATTTGAGTTTTGACAGGGTTCCATCAACTTCTGTGAGACGATGAGGACCATTCGGAGAATGCGAGACCACAACCATAGGACCGAAATATCTTGGCTTGCACTTTGCATTAGAGGCAGCTTCGACTTTCTTGTTCAGAACTAGGACAAGAGTGCCTGGTTTGAAATCATATTCGTGAATGGTTTGAGAAACTCGCCGCTCAAAGTCCTTGATAGATGCAAAACAACTTTTGAGCACATGGGCGTGAATATCGGCCAAATCTTCCTCTCTTTAGCTAATTGACGAGCATGTATTGCGATGAGATGGCTTGTGGAGAGTTGAGCAGGAATATCAGGGAGGAGGAATGTGGCTTCGGTGATGTCGAAAGGTAAGACAGGCTCTATGCTGCGTGCCATGAAGAATGGAGTGTGGCCAGTAGACTTCCATGTCGTGACGCGGTCAGCCCAGAAGACATGGTGCATGAGAGTTGGCCATTGAGTGATGTCGCCATTGCAGGTTTTAACGAGTGAGTCTTGAATGGTTCTGTGAGAATGTTCAATGAGGCTGTTTGCCTTTGAATTATAGGCGGATATTCAAATGTGCCAGATGTGATATTTGTGTGCAAGCCAATCGAGCATGGCGACAAAAGGTGACCCATTATCCATTACGATTTCTTTAATGGCGCCCCACCGGCAGAGAACATCCTCAAACAAAAATGCACCCAACGTCCTCCCAGTCTCTTTTCTCAACATTCTAAACTCAGGCCAAGCAGTTAATGAGCATCATGCTTGAATGATGTAAGAGAATCTGTGAGATGCGGGCATATACATAGAGTTGGTAAAAGCTTTTTGGAAGAGAGTTGCAGGAATAGAGATGGTAGGAGGGAGGACTACTTTTTCGATGGAACGAGTTTGACATTGGTGACAGGTTTTGAGGTACCAGGATACGTCTTTGTCAAGGGAAGGCCACCAGAAGCGGTCTGCAATTGTCCTTTGAGTATGGTAAAAACCATTGTGCCCAAGTTTGTCATGAACTTCATGGAGAATGCGAGCTCCATCAGGAGCAGAAATGATGAGTAGGTGCTGTCCTGTTGCCTCTTTTCTCCATAAGCAGTTTCCCTGCACGAAAAATTGATGTGCACATTTAGCAAGATGAATCTGATCCTTGCTTGGGATGTTTGGGGGAAAGAAGAGGGTATTGAGGTAGGTTTGGATAGTCCACAGATCGTCATCATGGCGAGAGGTTACACTATTGGAAGGAATTTCGTCTTTGGACAAGTCTGGTGTGATGGTCAGAGCACTTTGCATCCTTTCAGCAAGCCACTCGTTATTAACTTCTTTTGCCACCCATATTCTGCATCCCAGTATTTCTTCAATCCACTCTTCAACATCTTCCGTTGTTTCATCCAAGTCTTCTTCGTCTCTGGGTGCTGTGGGCCGTCGAGACAATCCATCTGGTGCTACATGTTTGTTTCTGGGGACATGTCTAAGGGTGAAGTCAAAGAGGGAGATGCTAGCTATCCAATGATTGATGGCAGTGTTAGGTTGGATATCAGGATGATTGAGCATGCCCCAAATATACTTTGCATCCACTTTGATGGTAAAGCTTTTGAGTTCGATGAGCCATACCTTTGCTGTGCGCAAGGCTCAAAATAAGCCATATAACTCGATTTTGGCTTGGGAATAACAAGACTCCCACTCATTCCAAGTAATGGAGCCAAATCTGGATGGACAACGATGACCTTCTGTATTGATTTGAGAGAGAATCCATCTGCATGCTATATGAGATGAGTCTACTGCTAATATGACTTCGAGTGAAGAAGAGTAATTGATGGGGCGAATTGCGGGAGAATGAATGATTGCATCTTTGAGGGAGTCCATGGCATTTTGCACAGCTGAATCCCATACTGAATGGAGTGTCAAGATGAGTAAGGTTAGTGAGAGGTTGTGCGATACGGGCATAAACTTTAATCCAGTTGCAAACAGTGCCTGCAGTTCCGAGAAAGCCACAAACTTCAGTTCATGTTGTGCAGGGTGGCCAGTTTCTAATCTTTGAAACCTTGGTTTTGTCCAGGATTCATCCTTTGTAATTGCAGAGTTGACCGACAACAAGGACCTCAGGAACACATAAAAACAACTTCTTCGCTGAAACGGTAGCTCCTGCGTGCTTGAGACGATGCAGAACTCAATTCACATCTACACAGTGCTCCCAAACAAACCTTCGTATGAGCGTGTTCTGTGGGTGGATCTCATAGGTACCGTCACTAAGCTCATAGTGGGTGTGAGGGCCGAGTACATTCACGTTGTCTTGGAAATTGGGGGCTATGTCCATCTCCTCCTGTAAAATGAATGATATGTTGTTTTGAAACACGGCAGGGGAGTCCATCCAACCTTGCGGTAAGACTGTGAGTTGAAAGGTGCCAAGAGGAATCTGAAATGTGATGGTGTCACGGGATTCTTCTGCAACTGCTCGGTAATCAAATCTGATGAATAAGTCAATCATGGAGTAGATGGCGCATCCTGCACATTGTTCTGCAAACAGTTCTATGTATGGCATTGTAGCAGCATCTTTGATGGTTATGGAGTTGAGCTCTTGGAGGTCATGAACAATACGGACAGCCCCTGCTTTTCTTCACGACACAGAACCACTGGGATTGGTAGGATGAGTTGGACACTTTGTAGATGCTGGAGGCTATTTTTGACTTGATGAGTTCGATGACTTCTTCCTTAATGCTGGGTGGGATGGGAGGCTGACGATGGACCCAGGGGGTGTGTTCAATGGTGTGGATGATGAAAGCGACCCTTCTCGGACTCATCCCAGGCAAGTGCTAGCTCATTGTTGGTGAGGACTTGCACAGCTAACTTGCATTCTTCAGGCTATAGGAAGTCGTTTTTGAAGATACCAAGTTCATCCATGCGATCTTGGGATAAACGGGAGCCGGGATGGAATGCAGGAGGATTTGGGGAAAGGAATGGGAGGGTTTGAAGTGGATCTTCTGGAATGCACCGGATAATACATGCATGGGCTGGCATCGTTGTAGCTAGCGGCTTGACCTTGTTGGCTACCTTTTTGTATGCAAAGGTGCGGCTGACTGGGTTGATTTTGAAGTGTGCTTGAAGAAGGAACTCAGCAAAGGAGGAGAAAGTGAGATGGGATATGGGGATGGGCTTTTTAAAGGCTGGAAGACTTGATTGCGTGGTAGATGTCTGTTGAGGGGGATGGAGGCTGTATATATCTGTCGAGCTTGTCAGCAGGATGTCGTGATAAATGTCTGTTGAGCTTGTTGGCGGGATTTGCAGTGGTGAGTCATACAGACTGAGGAAGTCCCTGCCAAAAGTATTGGTCTCGTTCGCATTCCGAGATCTTCGAATTAGCTACTAGCCATACGGCTATGGGTTGAAACTGCTGATAGTACTGTAGTAATTCTGTTTCAGTCTCGATATCAGACTCAACCGCGTTAAGGATGACTGTTTCTAAGTCGCGGAGGGTCCATCGTGTTCCTTTTGCCACTCCAGAGTACTGTTCAAGAATGTTTGCCTTGAATACTGTAAAGTTCTTGCTCTCGTATCTGGTGAGTGTTACAGGCATCCGTAACACCTACAGGAGCCCCAGCTCTGCCTATGCCTGCCCCTGCTCTGCTAGACTCCCCGCGCGGCGGTGCGCCGCCTGCGCCTAGAAAGACAGCGGTCTGGACCGCTATGACCCCACCCCTGGCACTATGACCCCGCCCCTGGCCTAGACGGCCTTGTACCTGATCCATGGAGGCTGTACGCCTCATGGTCACCCTAGATCAGCGCATGCATACCGCATGTCGCTTCATGAAGATCCGGAGCGCTCTTGGCACTTCCTGTACCTATGCGCAGCTGCCCTTGGCGCAGCATGCTTGATCAGAGGTTAAGCCTCATGTATCTTATCTGAACCTCATGTCTTGTTATCATAGATCCTAGATATACTATTGATTACAGACTGAGCTAGAATACTTGTAGTACTTCCCTATAGGTAGACACAGATTATTGTACTTAGACTTTACTTTAATCTACTAGGTTCATCCCAGAACTTGTTCAACTAAGCCTTACCAGCTTCCTTGCATAAGACCGCACTTCTAAGTCGCCCCCATACAACTTAGCACGTATCTGCTAGCCCTGTATCTTGACGAGCACCGTCTTACCGAGATCACCGGAGGAACCCTTGACGTTCCGTCAAGCCGAGAACCACCCTCAGCTTCAGTAGACTCACTCAAGTCGTCACTGAGAAGACCTATCCTAGTTTGCACACACCGACCGACGGTCAGCGTAACAGTGAGCATGACCCAGAACCTCTTGGTCTCCAGGTTGACGTAGCATACTATTATCTTGCATTTGTCATTGTCCGTAAGTCTGTAAGATGTCGCTACATCCTCAAACATTTCTATGAACTCAAGTAGCTCTGACATTTCACCATTGAATGATGGTGCTTTGTTTGATCTGGGGCCGGGCATAGCACCCATACCTTTGTTGGCGGTGGACATGGCTGGTGCATTTGTCGATGAAGTCGTATTCTGAATGGGAAGGGTGACGGTTGGAACAGAGAGCATTTTAGACTGATGAGGAATTGTTCGAGAGCTGGTAGTAGGGTATATTGGCTTTAGTGGCAGGGTTTTCTGAGGGAGAAATTTGGGTTTTGGGATAGGAGGGGAAAGGGTAGCTGGGGGTAGCGTTTCATTGACAGGGTTTGCGGGAAGTGTAGGTGTTTTTGGTTCGAATATGGCCGATCCCAAAGTACATGTAAACAAACACTACATGCTGTGGATGATGGGAAAACATGTAATAGCACTGGCTGCAACATGGGTAATGTGCGAAATAAGAACTACGCACCTAGTGGGGCTAGCAGGATAGGATAGGACATGAGGAGGACAATTGTGTGAGAATATGAATATGTTGGGTCAGAGTTGGCCTAAACATTGTGTTGATCAGATAAGCATCGAGTTGAGTGGGTAATTGTTAGGTTGTCATCAGAAAATGATTAGCGTGCGGCAGACATCTGATGTGTATCGTAAAATAACTGAACACAAGCTCAGCGCGAGGCTGAGTGCTACAGTGCTGTGTCCCTTACCCAAGTAATTTCCCTTAATTTCCAGTGGCTGAGAATGAACTCCAGAAGTTCAGCAGACATTCAGAAAACTACAGAAGGACTACCATGGACAAAGT